GTCAATGTAATCAAGCTGGAGGTTTTTCAGGGTCTCTTCCAGGGCAGACTTGACCAATTCGGGGCGGTGGTGCATGCTCCAAAGCTAAAGGGAGTGAAGGAACATTCAAAGTAACATGGTGTATTCTTTATCAAAGCAATTCTGAGAAGGACAGCAAATTGTGGCAATACCAGAACAGCAGACTGAGTTCTCAGAATGGCCAATTTACAGAAAAATTGTGAAGTAGTTGAAGTTCATCCTTGTCACTTAACCTCTCTGTGCCTGTTTCCTTGTTTGTGGGACAGTAAATAAATTCTATCTACCTCCAAGAGTTCTTATGAGGTTCAAGAGAGTTGTCACATGCTTTGTAAACTGCAAAAGAGACCTCTTTGGGAACTAGAGAAATTTACCCACTGGAGCAAGGGTAAATGAACTGCCTGTTGAAGGAGGTTGTGAGTGAATGTACACCCAGAATGGAGATATCTCTGAATCAGGGATTTTAAAAGAAGTACTGGACAAGCCTGGAGCTAGAAGGGTAAGAGGAAGAAAGTCATGGATTGAGGTGCCTTCCCTGGGCCAAACCTACCTGACCAGTGAACAATGACGTATCCTCTCAACTCATGCTAATGATGGATTTTGAATATTAACAAAGCTGTGTTTTAGTAACCTATGGAGGTTTTCTTCCACCTATGCAAGGACGCAGTAGCTACAGAATTAAATGTCCAAATCAAAAGAGATGATAGGGAAGTAGGCATTGAGACACAACACCTTCACTTTCACCTTATTGGTTGGGTAAGTGGCTAATTTTCCCTATACATTGTTTCCTAAGATTGGACACAAAGATGATTTAGCAGCACACAAGAGACTTTGCTACTTTCTATGCCTTTACTTTGGGAGGAGGTTTTAGGAAATGATAAGCAACATTGCTGTTACTTTAATCTCTTACTATTTACTTTTCTTCCTATTTCATTTTGGAAACCTTTAATATGATCTAATTAATTGTCCTAATGCAAACTCCTGTCCCCAACAAATTAATGTAATGACTAACATTTTCTGCAAGTTTCAAGGACGAAGTGTTAGAAACCAGCCACCTTTGGGGACCAAAGGAAAAGAATAAGACTGAGCTAGAAGAAGTTGATAAAGTGCATTTTAATCCTTTTCTTATCTAATTCCAGTTAAACATGGATGGCATGACAAGACTATAAGAAAACTTTTAGACTTTTTAATTAATTTAATTAAATAAAACCCATGAGACTTTTTTTAATGACATAATAGTATGTTGCTGAATTTCTACCAAATTTGAGTGCACATTACTGCTGTTCAGAAGCAATTAAGCCCATGTAATCTTCCTTAAAAAAAAGTTACAATCTACTTTGTTTTGTCTTATCTTTAAGCATTGTTCTGTTTCCCCAATGATAAGGTGCTTTTAAAGAATGACCAATAATCAACTACATATTTATGATTTGTATCCTTACCATTAAATCTGGAATTAACTTCCTGTTACACAACTTATTTCTAATTTACAAAAAAAAAATACAGGTTTATCAAACACTAAATTCCACAGTAAGAATATTATTTTCCTCCAAATTCACTCTACTTTTGATCCATTAGTTTAAAAAAAGTTCACTAACTGATCATCCCATACATTCTCACAATTTAGTCAAAGAACTTATATCCTGAGTGAAAGTAGGAATAATTTAGATTATATTCTTCAAGATTAAATTTAAACTGTTAGCACAACTATGAAACTGTCAATTCAAAATAGTGAGTCCACTGAATACCGAAAAAAAGAAATGATATTTGGCATGTCATAATAAGAGGAATAATCTCACAGCTGCTCATTCAGAAAATATAGTCACTGTACCTCCTTAATAGTTTTTCCCGAAGGTGCTTGTTTCTCTTATTGTCCCTGAAGAGATTTCTTAATTATTAATTTGGGGAAATTAAATGTTCAGCTATTTTACACTTGCTTATAGGAGTGTAAGCTCCTGAAGAGCAAAGACAATGTCTGTTCTTTAATCAACATCCCTGTACAAGTGTGCATCTTGCTTATTAACTGACTGGCCACTCTACTTTTGAAATTAAATGACTGGAAGTTAAATTCCATTGTTTCTCATCAATACTAGCTAGTCTTCCTCTTTTCCCTTATGCAGCATAATTCATTTTTGTTTTTTAGATTGCCTTGGTTGGGAGGATTCCCCTTTGTTCCACATAGAATATTGTTTATGTTTTGTCACATTTTTTTTACTGAAGAAAAATCCTACAAAACTCAAACCTGATTTTCACCCAACAATACCTTCCCCGTGTAGAATATTTCCTCTCTGGTCACTGTCCCATCTGCAATCTTAGCTCGGATTGCCCGTCCAACTTCTTTTTCATTTTCGTATAGGAAAGCCTCATCAATATGGCGGAAGCCCACTTCAATAGCCACTTTTGTGGCCGTCTCACTTTCACTTTTGGGAACCTAAGGATTCAAAGGGAGAGAGTTTCAACCAGGATAAAGACACCTTAGCCCAATGGACCCCCTTCCCTAAACATGACCCTTTAACTATTGCTTCTCCTTTCCTCTATTTTGTCTCTCCAGCTCCATTTTCTCCCTTGCTTGTCTTTTTCTTGGTCAAGTACTACTGAAGTCTTCCATTGAACAGCTGCATTTTGTAATTTGTTTTCTTTAGATCCTGATGCTTGTTTATTTTTCCATTTGGTCATTCTAAGAAGTATGAGGCTATTAAGTAATAGAGAGAATTAGACATTTTGCCAGATAGACATCTGCCCAGGGCAGTTAAATTCTTTGGCTTAGACCAAGCGTGGGGAACCTGCGGCCTCGAGGGCCCCTGAGGCCTTCTTGGTCCTCAAGTGGGTCCCATGACTGAATCCAAACTTCACAAAACAAATTCCCTCAATAAAAGGATTTATTCTGCAAAACTTGGACAGTCAAAAGGCGACACCCAAGGATTTAGAAGGCCATATATGGCCTCCAGGTCCCAGGTTCCCTACCCCTGCCTTAAATTTCAGTCTTTAGACTTCAGTTTTAGGATCTCCTGCTATACATTACATGCCTTTCCTCCTCCCACAGCCCATAGTTTAATAGAATGCTTTGTTTTAAGTATATTGAGTTTCAGGCTACTGCAAGACAGCAGAGTACTATGCCAGAAAACTGAGCAATAGTAATTCACATGGCAAAGCCAGTAATGCCTAAAGGAGGAGAAAAGTTTTCAACGATAAAAAGTTTGGGAGAAGACTTTTTGTGCAATAGAGAAAAAAATGGAAAAAAAAATAAACTTAAGAGAATCACTCCCAATCATAGATTAAAAAAAAAAAAGAAAATTAGCTTGACTTCTGCTATCCATGACTACACATTTAAATTAAAATTCTAGAATCACCTAAAGGAACAAGACAGAGAGTTTAGAATTACTGTTATGGAATCTATACCTATAACCTCAGCTATCATATTGATAAAGATAAGAAGGCAAACAATACGAGTTTAAAAGTGTTGGTAGTGAGATTTTGCCAACAACCACTTTAGGTACAAATATGGAAAAACCTATTAATCATAAAAGAATTAGACTCATCCAATCAATAAATAGTCTAAATAATGATGTTGCAGTATAACTGGCTACTTACTCAGCTCAATGTAACTTATTTTTGAATTATATATAATAACGATTCATACTTTATTACGTATATGTAGTGTTGCATGTACGTTATCCACACACACATATCCACACACACACACACACACATATATCTATTGTTACTAGATTTTGCCTTATTAGAAGCAGCTTGTTAAGTGGTGCTTTGAATTGTGATATGCATACTATATGTATACTCTATGTATATATAGTGATGAGTTGCACTATAAAGAAATCTGAGTGCCACAGAATTGATGCTTTCAAGTTGTGGCTCTGGAGAAGACTTTTGAGAGTCCCTTTGACAACAAGGAGATCAAATCAGTCATTACTAATTAATTCAGGCTAATCACTGGAAAGTCAAATACTGAAGCTGGACATGAACTTGGACAGACTTTGAGAGATAGTGGAGGACAGAAGGGCCTGGTGTGCGGTGGTCCATGGAGTCACAAAGAACCATACACGACTGAACAACAAACATTGTAAGTAACATTAGGGTGAATTTTATATATCCCAAAATGATTTTCAGGAAATAAAATTATGGGTTGCAGGGAATATAGCACCAGGTTCAGCAACTTTTCCCACAGACTACAGGTACTATTACTATATTTTTAAGGGAGAATAGAAAAAAGGAAAAAAAAAAGATTGTGGCAGAAAAGGACATTAACCTTTCTCCTTTTGTTCTCTTTTTTATTAATTTATTTTGATTTGTCAACAATCATTTCCATAAGCTTTTGAGTTTTAAAATTTTCTCCATCTCCCTCCCCCCCCCCTTCCTCCCCAAGACGGCATGCAATCTGATATAGATTTTACATACAGATTCCTATTAAACATATTTTCACATTAGTGATGTAAGGGAGAATTAGAATCAATAAGAGGAACCATCAGAAAGAGAAAACAAAACAAAACAGAAGACAAAAATAGCAAATAGTATGCTTCGATCTCCATTCAAACTCCATTGTTCTTTCTTTGGATATGGATAGCATTTTCCATCACGAGACCTTTGGAGATGTCTTTGATCCTTGAATTCTTCTTCTCCTTCTTAAGGAAAAGTCTTCAACTAGGTTTCTCCCACCAGAGGAGGGCATGCATGGAATAACTAAGAATTAAAGAAAAGGCTTCTCCTTCTTCTGTCTAGTCAAAGGAAAAACTATTAACTAAGATTGGCCACAAGAGATGAGAACTTTGAAGAGCACAGTGAAGAAAAAGGCTTAAAGAAACACAATGGAGCTTGTAAAAGAAAGGTACTCAACTTGATCTGATCCCCCAGAGGCCTCAGCAACAAAAATGAATTAAAGAAAAATTAAAATAAAAAAACTTTTATAAATGCAGAGATGATGAGGGCACAAACCAGAAGAGAATGCAAAAACTTCTATAATCAAAACCACAAAGAAAAAAGCTTGCCCAAAAGGAAACTTCTAATTTTTTTTTTAAATTATGAGCTTAAAAAAAGTATAAAAGAAATCAGAATTACTGAGACAAGAACTGGGGAAAGGAGCAATAGCTTAACAGAAGAGGTACAAAACTTCACTAACAAACTCTCTAAAAATCAGAATGGACCAAACTCTCCAAAAATCAGAAACGAATGATTCTAGGAGCCAACACAATTCTTAAAACAGAGTCAAAAGAAATGTGAAAATGAGAAAATAAAGTGAATGGGAATGGGATGAATTCATCCATAAAAGAGTTAAAATAAGGGATTGGGACAAAATCTGTCATGACTCAGTTGGACACAAAATAGCCGGAATAACAATTATGCTATTATTCAATGGCAATAGCCAAAATAGATTTAATTTTAAAAGAGATAAAGAGAAAATTACATTTTACTGAAAGGCAACACAATGAATTGATTTCATACTTAATATACATGTAATCAATAACACAACATTAAAAACAAAGAAAAAACTAAATGAATTACAAAGAGAAACAAACCATAAAACTATAATAATGAGGGACTTCAATTTACCCCATGAGCCCTAGATAAAATAACAAAAAATAAATGAAAAATTAAAACATGAATAAATCTTACATAAATTAGATATGATAGACCTCTAATGATTATTGAAAGGAAATAGAAGTTAGCATTCATTTTTCTCAGCTGTGTATGACTCCTTTGGAAAAATTGATCTTGACATCATAATAATAAGTTATATTATAAAGGACCACTGAAAAAAGTATTAAAAATAAACCATACCACAAAGCTCAATTTAAATATCATTTTGTCCAGAAAGCCTTCCCTTATCCCATCTCTCCCTCTCCCCACTTGATTATTATCTCTATTTCAAACTTCTCAAAATTCTTTGGGGTATAACTCTCTAATGTAATTATCATATAACATATATTTATAGTTTTCTGCATTTGTGTCTTATTTCTCTTTTAGGTTGTGAGTTTCATGAAATTAGGGGCAGTGTCTTATCTAACAGACCAGAAAGTATTAACGTTATTCTGTCTTGTTCTCCCTAGCCTGAAGGTCCCCAAATACCATGTTCTGTTTTCTTATTAGTGCAGCCCTACTTGGGCTTGTACCCTTCCCCAGCTACTCAATCAGTAAGTCCAGACCTTCACCCTATGTAACCTCAACCAACCATAAAATTTGGCGCAGATAACTGCACGCTACAACAACAACTCCTTCTTCTTCTTCCGCTCCCTCTCTCCTCCCCAAAGTCCCCGTTTCATCTCAGAACTAAAGGGGAGGAGGCAGACAAAGCACGTCTGACAGTGAGACAGGACACCTAGGGAGAGAATGGGTTCAGAGCT